CAAACTTGACAATAATTTTAATATAATTGTTTACACCAAAATTCACATTCAAATATTGACAGTAATTATGTAATACTAATTTGTCACCTGACTTAATATAGCATGTGATATAACTGATAGATTGGGAGAAAATATAAAAACTACAACAATGACTATGAAGATGACATAATTGGCAGTGAAACAAATTGAGAAACATTATACAAACAGCAGGGAAGACAAAGATAACAATTTGTTTGCTTACACAAGTAGATTAATTATTATTGCTAAAATTTATGAGAATACAATTTTGTGACAGTCACTTGTCCCCCCCCCCTCCCTCCCCCCCCCCCATTCTTAAAACACTGGTGAAATGTTCACACCACAAAATGTTATGATTTTCACAAATTCATGAAAATTAACAGTTTACAGTAAATTGTAAAATTTTATCACTAACCACAAAATAGTTCAGCTTACTGTTGGAAAAACAAAACAAATAATAAAAAGTGCAAATTACGAAAAATGAGAGAACAATTGCATTTCAATTGTTTATTCGTGAAATTCTTGAACATACCACAGAACTATTCCCTTTCAGACAGTCTTCCACATTCAAATAATCGTTCACAATCAATCATGAAGTCATTTGTTTTTTCCGATTTGCAATTGCTGCAGCAAGTCTTAATTTCTCGTCTTCTTGTTCTTTTTTCTTTGCCTGACTCTGTAACAGTCTTTTCTCTCGCATTTTCTGAGCCATTAATTTCCTGTCTTCAGCACCCTTTTGTTTAGGCACAGTCTTAGCTTCACTTACTTTCTCATCGCTATTTGATTCTATCTTAGCTTGTTTGGGTTGCTGCTCACTTGGATTATTGCCTCCTTGTCGTTTATTTCCCCTTTTCTTTGCTTTTTTGGTTTTCCATGGAAACACAATTGGAGGAGTGTTTCTGACCTCTGCGATAGCGATTGTTTCTCTATATTCTTCATTGATGTTTTCATCATAGCGCGTCTCCAACGGGAACAGTGCTTCATATTCCATAACTTCCGGTATTTTACATTCGTCTTCAACTTCTTGACATTCAGCCATTTTGTTGTTCTGAAATGTAATAGAGATGTAAATAACAGACTATTGTTATATATCCTATATATAAAATATGTTTTTGAAATGCAGTCCCTCACCCCCTTGGCTGTTTTCGTAGATTTTTCTTCACCAGAGCGATTCACATCCTAAATTTTGGTTCCTTTGGAGTCTCTAATAAATGCTCTATCTAACCGCTGGACTGAATTAGCTATATTATGAAAAAATCATAGAAGATTGGGCGAAAATTGGCCGTTTTTGGCCTCAACAGCGCTAAGACTCGATTTTCAAGATCGTAGGTCACTGTCTGTTGTGTGTCTAGAAACATAACAACTTTGTTTTTTGGTGAATATAGAACATGCTCTGTTCCAATAAAAGATTTTAATATGCAAATTGAACAATTTTAATAGTTTCTCATTCTAACGTCTCCCACATAAATAGTCCTGTACTCCCCAGAATTTGACAATGGTACTAGCCCAGAATTGACTTTCTGTTCAGCGCGTCTTTGATTGTAGCAATGTTTACGCCACTGTACAAAAATACGCACACTCGCGAATTTGACAACATTCACTTGAGTGTTTTAGGATAGTGGGAATATAAGCAAATAGATGGAAATAACATTTAAGTCACTCATGAAGATTGATGATTCAATTGCTGGGTGGGATAGATGTATTTGGTGTTCATTTCTATGCAATATGTCTACATCTGCGATTCTCAATTTTGATGTATAAAATCATATCGCCCAGGGGGATCACTCTATATGCCGTTACTACCCCATGTGCGTTCCAACATTAGCGAGGAAAGGGGGTGTTTTTCACCTTCTAAAGGGGGCCCGCGCGGGAGGAAAATAGGCCCCCTTTAAAATGCTAGTATCTGCAATAGGCCCCCAGGAATGAACTCACAGGGCTGCTGCACCCGCTGTAGGCCCTCTCTTGCAACAACCACTCCCATACACCACCCTACTGTAGCCATAGCTTGTTTGAGTGAAAAAAAAAATGGCAGAGAATGCTCGCAATAGGAGTAGGATGTTCTCAATATATGTCTGCAATAGGGGGTACTAAATTTACAGTGCGTCCGCAATAGGGGGTAATGTTTTACTCATTGTTGATATCGGACACTTCATTATTTCATGCATACAATATTTAACATATAATGAAATTACCTAAATTTTCCTCGTTTTGAATACAGTTTCTGATTTTGAATACAGTTTCTGATTTTGAATAATTATTGCTATTATGTCAAAGCGTTCAGACAAAGACACTGAGATGGAGATTATTCGCCTCTTGCGAATGATCGACGGCGAAGGAAGTTGGACTAGCGACGGCAACGGTTCAAGGGATTGTGCGGCATTTCTGTTGCATCCGTTGGATACGTTTCAAAAGGAGTAGCGACGGTGATCGACTGAATGTTACATACGAAATTGTTAAGTTTATCGAATTTTGTCTGCGATCTGTAGGATATTTGAAACTGGTATATGGTGACGGTGTGGAGGTTTGAAGGTGAAACGAAGTTGAAGATTCCAGGGAAAGATTGACTGGGTGATGAGTGTTCTGGCAAACTGGCAATAGGACCAGCCATTATGCGAGAAATTGAACGGGACACTCACAACGCTAATATTATTACTATAAATCCATTGACAACATCTCAACAAACTACAAATCAAAAGAATTTATATTTATCATTTCTTGTTAATATTCATTCCCAGTTTTAGTTTGTATTATATTTCTCTCAAGTGTTACACAGCAATGATTTTTGTTCCTACAAAGCAATGGAATAGTCCAACTACCCCTCATTCCTTGTGGCCAAACATCGAAGGCATTCTGCGTCCGGTGTTTTGATTAACTGTCACGTGAGTGGGTATGTAACTTTATTGCGTCTACAACTGTCATCGGAGTGTCTAGGGAAGTGTCTGGCGATGTTGCAAAGTCCCTCGGTAATTACCTACCGGGTGCGGGAGTTAGGTGTATGTAAATATCTTGTGTCCACTGTAATATAGAGTGACCCCCCGGGGTCATATCACTGCTTTGGACGGCGACGGCTGACAGATTGTTTTGGTTCTGCGGCTCTCTTGGCATGGGCAACTGATTTTTAGGTTTCTGTTTTATTAATATTCTGACATTTACTTGGTCGTATTTTGTGTATACCACTCAGACACTGACAACAAGTAAGTAAACGGGCCAGGACATAGTCAACATGGGACTCTGAAGGCCCCGGAGATAGCGTCATCGTACATTAATGAACGAAATTTACATTACAATCTCATGCTTCCAAACAATCCAATATTTATGCTGGATAACAAAGTATACAAGTACTATCTACGATATACTGCAAAATGGAAATAACATACCTATTTAACCGTTGCTGATTTTTGTACAAAATTCCAAGAACACAAATCTGACAACAATCGACAAACAAAACACTACACAGTCACTATAGT